CTGTGGGCATGAGGAGTGAGGCAGGACCAGGGAGACACGGGCGGACAGTGGCATCAGGCTCTGTGAGGAGACTGCGCGTCCAGCTCTGTTTCTGCCCCTTTTCCTACCAGGATGACCGGAAAGAAGGGATGACTGCGTTTGTGGAAAAGAGAAAGGCCAACTTCAAAGACCAGTGAGACCCAGCCGCCCCTCCCTCACACCTTTGCTTGGAGAGGGCAAGTGCAGCCTGCTGTCAGTTTTAGAAGCAAGTAAATCATCCTCTTTTCGAGAGCAGCGTCCGTGGTGCGCAGTTTCTCTCTGACTGCTGCGTGGTCACGGCCCGAGCTCTCACGGCATGACTGCCTTCTTCACCCAGCCTGTGAGGGTCCGTGTTCACGTCCTGATTGGAGCACCTTCTTCTCAATGTTAAGATTCTGCTGAGGAGCCCCTGCTGGTCCCTCTGGGCATGCTGTGCTTGGGCGGAGAGCAGGGCCTGCAGGTCCTTGTGTCCCTGCCGCTGGAGAGGGGCTGCTCTGAGGGAAACACTGCTGCCTTCACACAGATGCTCTGCTGATTAAAGTGACAGTGATTCAGGTGACACCACGCCTCGTAGGTCATGTCTGGAATGAGTATTCTGTCATGTTAGTTTTTTTTTTTTTTAACTTTTTTGTTTTTTCACTGTAAGGAACAACATTCAAAGAAAAAAGGTTTGTATAGTAAGTCGCCCCACATCATACTTCCTGGGTATCCACTGTGAACAGCTGGGCTCGTGGCTTCCTAGAGACTTCTGTGCGCACACACACACCCCTGCACACGTGCACGGGCATGGACTGTGGTTTTCTTCCATGCCCACTTACGTAGAGCCCTTTCCTCACGAGAGCCCACCCTGTTTCCTTTGTACTTCTGTCATACGGAGCTCTCTGTTCAGTTTCACTGCTTTCTTCTCTGTTGTGGTAACACACGACGTAAACTTGACCATCTTAACCATTGTTTTTTAGAGACAAGGCTAGAGTGCCGTGGTCAATCACAGCTTACTGCAGCCTGAATCTCCTGGGCTCAAGTGATCCTCCCTGCTCCCAAGTAGCTGGGGCCACAGGCCTGCACTACCACACCCAGCTAACTTTTAAAATCTATCTTTTGTAGAGATGGAGTCTCCCTATGTTGCCCAGGCTGGTCTGAACCATTTTAAGTCCACATTTCAGTGGCATTAAGTACATTCTCCTTGTGCAACCATTACCGTCTATCCAAGAAAGCTTTCATTTTCCCAAATGCAAACTGTCCCCATTAAACAATAACCCCTTTTCTGCTTCCCTGCAGCTCCTGGCACCCATGCTTCTACTTCCTGTCGCTATGGAGGGACCTCCATTTGTCCCTTTGGGTCAGGCTCGTTTCAGCCCCACCCCAGATCCCTGGGTTGAAATCCTAACCCCTACTGTGACTGCTTTAGGAGGGAGGACTTTGGGCAGTGACTAGTCATGAGGGCAGAGCTCCTCCAGTGGGATTAGTGCCCCATGAGGGGACGGAGCTCCTCCAGTGGGATTAGTGCACTATGAGGAGGCGGAGCTCCTCCAGTGGGATTAGTGCCCTATGAGGGGGCAGAGCTCCTTGAGCGGGATTAGTGCCCCATGAGGGGACGGAGCTCCTCCAGTGGGATTAGTGCACTATGAGGAGGCAGAGCTCCTCCAGTGGGATTAGTGCACTATGAGGAGGCGGAGCTCCTCCAGTGGGATTAGTGCCCTATGAGGGGGCAGAGCTCCTTGAGCGGGATTAGTGCCTTATGAGGGGGCGGAGGGCCTCGAGTGGGGTTAGTGCCATATGAGGGGGCGGAGCTCCTCGAGTGAAATTAGTGGTCTTTGAGGGGGCGGAGCCCCTCCAGTGGGATTAGTGTTCTATGAGGGGGTGGAGCTCCTCGAGTGGGATTAGTGCCCTATGAGGGGATGGAGCTCCAGTGAAATTAGTGCCCTATGAGGGGGCGGAGCCTCTCCAGTGGAATTAGTGCCTTATGAGAGGGCGGTGGTCTTCCAGTGGGATTATTGCCCTTAGGAGAGCCCCGAGGGCACTCTTTTGCCCCTCCCACCATGTGAGTGCTCTGTGGGAAGGTGCTGTCTGTGAACCATGGGCCTCACACACAACCTGCGTGGAGCCGTGGCCTCCAGAACTGTGGAAAGTCAGTGTTTATCAGCCACCCAGACCATACCACTGCATCACAGCAGCCCAAGCTAAGGCACATACCGTCCAGAAGGTTTGTGCCTGTTGTGGCATGTTTCACCATTTGATTTTTTTCACTGAATGACGATCCCATAACATTCTTTTTAGTGGCCCTGATGTTTCATACTGTGGACGTGTCATCGTGCCCATGGTTCTAGATATTTCCCCCAGGGAAGCCCACCTGCCCCCTAGCTCAGTGCAGACTCTAGAGAGCGTTCACAGGTGTCTCCTCCACTTGGCCCCGCAGCTTGGTGTGGGTAGTGGCCTAGATTGTGGTCATGGCCTTGGGCTGGGTGGGCAGAGTGTGTGAGCCCCCACCCCTGAGTTCTTGGGCTGAATACCAAGGACAGATTCACCTGCATCAAGAAGTACAGAGACCTTTGCTGAGCTCTGGCTCCCTGAATGCGGCAGGTGCCACGCCCGTGTGTCCAATTACATTTATAGGCAAAATGGGCACACGCGTGCTCTGCGACCGCTCGCCTTGCAAGCATTGGCTCTGCACTTCCACCCACCCCGTCTGTCCTCCTGTGTGCCATGATTGGAGTCCGCTAGTTCAGAGCTGCCTTTAGGGTGGAGCAGGTTTATCTCGCCTCTGCCAGGGCAGGTGGGAGTTCTCATGCAGTTTACCTTCAAACAGGCAGATGTTCTTTTCAGATAAGCCTTGGGATCTGGGACTGTTTGACAAATACTGAAATAGGTACAAAAGGAGTTTGATTCAGGTCCAACAGGGCAGAACAGGCTCTTCCCTCGGGGTAGGGAACCTGGAACCTGCTCACTTACTGGAGTGGAGCACATGGAGGTTCGTGCAGGTCATGAACCACTGGCCCTGGAGCCTGGAGTAAACACGCAGGGATAGGCACCAAATGTTCAAGTATCCAAGGGAGGAAGCCTGAACATTGGGAAAATCCACTCCGTTTAATTTTTCATGTGCACTGGGGTCAGCCTCCATAATTTGATTTCAAGCAATGGAACCCCAGAGATCTGGAGGGCCGGTTACAGCCTCGTGTTCACACCTGTGTCAGCCACGCTTGGCTGGAAGCCGCGTCTCAGAGGTCTGCATCTTAGTTATCTGGTTCCAGAGTTTGGCAGGCACAGGCGCCCAACTCGTAGGCTCGGGAATGGACCTCGTCTTCATGCTGGCCCCAGGGAGCCTGGAGCAGGGGTACCACTGTCCCACGCAGGGGAACCCCAGACGCAGAGTGAGGCTTCCACTCCTGAGCTAGTTGACCTCTGGCCCCAATATTGTTTGGGGTTTGATTAGGTGTTTTTTGTTTGTTTGTTTGTTTTGGGTTTTTTTGAGACAGAGTCTCTCTCTGACACCCGGGCTGGAGAGCAGAGGAGTGATCTCAGCTCACTGCACCCTCCACCCTCCGGGTTCAAGCAATTCTCGTGCCTCAGCCTCCCAAGTAGCTGGGATTACAGGCGCCGGTCACCATGCCCGGATAATTTTTGTATATTTTGAAGAGACAGGGTTTCACCATATTGGCCAGGCTGGTCTCCAACCCCTGACCTCAGGTGATCCACCCACCTCAGCCTCCCAAAGTGCTGGGATTACAGGTGTTGAGTCACCGTGCCCGGCCTGATTTGGTTTTGAAGCTGAAAACTTTCTTGCCCATCTCTCTAAAATCGGCTGCCCTTGTATATTTGGGTAAATGGTGACTCTCCACTTACAGGTTGGAGTAGAAACTGCCCAGGGACAGCTCCGAACCCTGGTGGCCTCGGTGCAAAGCCGCCCTCATTGGCAGGCCCTGGGTAGCCCCAGTCTTCTCTCTGCCCGAGCGGCCAGCCCAGGGCCAGCTGTTCAGGTGCTGCTGGATGCCAGCCTGGGTGGCCCCACCAGGCTTTTCTGACGAAGCCCAGTCCACTACCCGTGGGGACAGGCTCCTAGGGCCAAGCAGTTCAACATGGAGACGTCTGTTTCCTCTGGGTTTCTGAGGCGGCTTTGTCATTTTTCACATATAGATTGATTTTCAGAACTTTTTAGGAGCCACCAGGCCTCGGAGCATTTGTGTCACCTCAGGGCTGAGGGCCAGGGCCACAGAGCTGGCCCCACAGCTAGCGTCCAGCTGGGAATCAGGTGGAAGAAGATGGCTCCGCGGAGGGAGGGCTCGGCCAGCCTGAGCCCAGCCAAAGGTCAGGACGCCGCCATCCTGGGAAGGGGGTTGCAGGCCGCTGACACCGGGGGATGACGGAGGACCCTTAGGTGTCCTGGCACTCGCGGCTGAGCCTGGAAGCTGGGCCTGGCTGCCCTCCTGGACCCCCTCCAGGAGGTCTAATGTCCCGGCTCCCGTGTCCCGTGCTCCCGCCCCTCAGGAGCGTGGGCTGAAGGCCTGGGTCCAGCTGCCTGCCCTGGTGACCCCAGGGACCCGGTGCGCTCTGGCCATTCTGCCAGGCCTAAGGGCAGCACGACGTGGTCAGAGGGCAGAGACCCTCATGAGGGGAGGCCGCAGAGGGCGGCAGTTGAACCCCTTCTGCCTGAGGGAGCTCGAGGTGGGAAGCTCGGGTAGGGACACTGGGGAGCCCCGGCCACAGCGCGCGGGGGCCCAAATCTCGGACCTGGCGAGGGGCCTGTGGGTTGGGTGGGTGTTGCCCCCACGCCCCGACTCAGCCCGAGTGTCCCCAGTTCCCGGGGCTCCCCGCCCTTCCAAGAGCCGTAAGCGGACCCCAGCCCCGAACCCTTGCCCCGGCGGATCCCCAAGCCCCAAGCCCCAAACCCGGGACCCAAAATCTCCGTCCTCCCCACAAACCCCGCCCTCCGTGTAAAGCCCCGCCCCGGCCCGTAAACCCCGCCCTCCCCGCAAGGCCCCGCCCCGCCCCAGGCCCCGCCCGCCCCGTCCGCCAGGCCATGGTGGCGCTGAAGGGTGTCCCCGCGCTGCTGTCCCCCGAGCTGCTCTACGCGCTGGCGCGCATGGGGCACGGGGACGAGATCGGTGAGCGCCGCGGGCCGGGGCCTCGGGGACCACGCCGGGGCAGGCGGGCGGGCGAGGCTTGCGCGGGGACCCCCGGGCCGAGAAGGGCCGGGTCCTGGGGTGCGGGCGTCGCTCGGGCCTCCCTGGCTTCCCCCGCGTTCTTTAGGGAACCGCGACCTTGTGGGGCTCTGGGCGGGGCCGGCCGGAGCTTTTCCCCGAGTCCCTCCCCAGACGGCCCGAGAGCCGCCGCGTCTGGGCTGCGCCCGAGGGTTCGGCGCTTTTTCTTCTCCTGGGGCCTGGGGTCCCGGGGCGGGGGCTGGGTGGCCGGGGGCCTGGTCCGGGCATCGCGGGCGGCTGCGCGTCCTCTGGCCCCTGGGGAGGCGGCCGGGTCCGGGTCGGCCCCCTGGCCTGGGCAGCACCCGACAGCCTGGCGGGCAGCTGTTGACGCCTCTCCGCCTCCCAGACGGGGACCTTGCCCTCCCCACCTCCCCGCCTCCCCGCCTGGCTTCCAGCCCTGCAGACTGACTGCGGCCGGCGGTGGGGGCGCCAACCGGCTGACCTGAGACCCCTTGTGGCCACGATCTGCCGCCGTGACTGGGTGGGAGGATGGGCGGCGCCGACCCCGAGGGCAGGGATAGGTGCTGACCACGCGCTGTCCTCCCGGCTGTTTAGTTCTTGCGGACTTGAACTTCCCGGCCTCCTCCATCTGCCAGTGTGGGCCCCTGGAGATCCGTGCAGACGGTGAGCGAGCCCCAGGTCCCCCAGGGCAGGGCGGGCGGGTGAGCAGTGCCCCTGGCTCTGAGGCTCCTCTGTGGCCTGTGGTGGCCCCAAGTCCATGCTTGCAGTGTGGAGGGTGCAGGCGGGCAGGCGGGCTGGAGACTGAGTGCCGCCCCCTCTGCCCTCCAGGCCTGGGCATCCCGCCGCTCCTGGAGGCTCTGCTGAAGCTGCTCCCCCTGGACACCTATGTGGAGAGTCCGGTGAGGGCTGAGTCGCCCCTGCACCCTGCTGCTCCGCGCCTCGGTTTCCCCTTTTGCGGGCTTCATAGGGCCCACCTGCCTTGGAGTGGGGGGGAGAAGCCATGTGTCCCCAAGGGGCCCTGATCCTCACCAGGGGAGTCCTGAATGGTCACCTGACCAGGAAGGCTGGCAGCACCCCGGGCCCCAGAGCTGACCCTCCCTCTAGGCTGCAGTCATGGAGCTGGTGCCCAGCGACAAGGAGAGGGGCCTGCAGACCCCGGTGTGGACGGAGTACGAGTCCATTCTACACAGGGCCGGCTGCACGGTGAGCCTGCAGCCCCAATTGTGGGGAAAGGGCCAGGGACCCTCTGTCTCCTGGAGGCTCAGTGGGAGCCAAAGACAGGGTCCCAAGCTCTGTCCTCAAGCGGTCTCCCACCCATCACCCTGAGAACCCCGGACCACTGGGCGCTCCCTCACCAGCCGGGTGGAAGAGGTGCACATGGGCAGTGTGGCCCCTCTTCCTCTGCCCCCGAGCTTTCCACCTGCCCCCCAACTCCGCCCAGGATCCTGACCTGCTGGGGCGTGGTGGGAGGGGTCCTCACCCACCACAGCCTGTGAGTGAAGCCTGGAGGACGCGGGATGCCTGGCCTCCACCTCCTCAGTCTCCCCTGGGGGAGTACCCCCTGGTCCCAGGTCTCTCGCCCCATCCTGGCTATGGTTGGTCAGAGGCCTAGCCCCCTCCTCACCTTGCCCTGCAAGGGGACAGGCCCATTCTCCCGGGCAACCCACTGGCAGGTCTCGGGCAGGACCTCCATAAGGGGAGGCCAGGGTCTCTCGTCCTGGGCAGGGGACCCCCTAGGACAGCTGGCAAGGGCTTGACAGTCTGCTGAGCTGGCTGGGTGGTCCCAGGCCAGGCAGAAACCAAGCATGGCAGGTTCCTCATCCACAATGTCCTGGGGCCCCCATCCTAGGCCTCAGGAGCCAGAGGCTGAGTGACCCTGGGGCCCCTGCAGAGGGAGAGCCCAAGAAATGGAACTCAGGGGCCCCACTTCCTGGTGCCCTCCCTACTTGGGGCCCTGGGGAGTCCAGGGCTGGCCCATGAGGGTTTCTGGACAGGGTTTCCTCCAACCCAGCCATTTTGTCTTCCAGAGAGCCCTGGCAAAGTTAGAGAGGTTCGAGTTTTATGAGCGGGCTAAGAAGGCTTTTGCTGTTGTGGCAACAGGGTGAGTTCCAGCTGACTCAGACCTGTCCCCATCCCCACCAGGGCCCTAGGAGCTGCCCCCGTCCCCACCGGGCCCTCAGGAGCTGCCCCCGTCCCCACCGGGCCCTCAGGAGCTGTCCCCGTCCCCACCGGGCCCTCAGGAGCTGTCCCCGTCCCCACCGGGCCCTCAGGAGCTGCCCCCGTCCCCACCGGAGCCTCAGGAGCTGCCCCTACCCTCTTCTCAGCTTCTGCCTGGCTGAGGCTAGATGTCCCACAGAGTGGAGAGACCAGGGAGGAATTTGGGGGGCAGGGCCCCCATTTGCCTGAGCATCAAGTGGGTGAAGGTGGACGGGGTCTGCTCCGTCCCCCAGAGGCTGGAGAAAGGTCTCAGCACCCTGGCCCTGCCTCCCAGCTTAGTGCTGGGCTTGGCTCCTCTGCAGGGAGACGGCCCTCTACGGAAACCTCATCCTCAAGAAGGGGGTGCTTGCCCTCAGCCCCCTGCTGTAGGCCTGGTGAAGACCACCTGGGCCGGAAGAGGAATTGGGGGCACCCTGAGCTCCGGTACCACCACTCACAACAGGCCTCCCAGCAGCAGCCCCAGACCTGGGCCCTAGCCAGGGCTCTAGGGGGCCGGCAGTCATGGGGTGGGCCCTGCCAATTGGTACAAATGTCCCTGATTTGTGAAAATGATGGAAAAACGTAGTCGCCGATAAACGTTCAGTCTAAAGGTTTTAATTCTGTTGTCACTCAGGCTTGTTTGGTGCTGAGCTCAAGGGAGGCTGCTGGCTCCAGAGAGGGCCCCCCATGTACCCTTGACAAAACGTTGAGTGCGAAATCAGGCCTGGGGCCTGGGGTCTGCATGGGTGCCTGGGGCCCTGGGGGCTGGGCGGGTGCCTGGGGCCTGGGGACACCAAGGGCTGGATGGGGGCAGTGGCTGCCCTGGAGGCCTTGAGGGGGTGAAGGCTCTGCCACAGCCTCTGGGCTGCGGACACTAAGGGGATTCTTCACCCAGGTCCGTTCTTTCCGCCCAGCAGGAGGGCAGGTGGCAGGGGCTGGCCTGGACACTTCGGGAGGAACTGTGGGAGCTCTGTTGAGGGAGGTGCCGGCTGGAGAGGCCTGGGTGTGGGCCATGCCCTGTGCTTGTGGCAGTAGGTGGCTGCCTGCTGGAAGCCTCACTTGCCCTGGCAGGCAGGGGAGGTAAAGGACACGAGGTCATTTGGAGCCCAGTGCCGGGCAGAGGTGGGATGCAGGGGGGTCCTGAAAGGGGGCGCCTGGAGGCTTCCCTATGGGATGCTTGGACTGGTCTCCAAGGATGGGGAAGAATAACCACCCGCTACTTTCCAGACCCTGGGCCTCACCCCTCCCCCTGCTCCCCAGAACTTGCCTCAGTGACAGGTACAGGAGGAAGATGGGGCAGGGCTGGAGTTTGAGGGACCAAGGGCAGGAGTGGGGATGACAGGGGCTCCCCCAGGGCCAGGGGCTGGTGTCCCCGGGGTTCCAGGGGGCAAGTCCCAGGGTCCCAGACCCACACTCCGGACCACAGGAGAACCTTGGGAGTGCAGGCAAGCCCCCCTCAGCTGAGATCTGGCTCCAAGTCTGGGGAAGGGATCCTGTCTGGGCTTCACTGTAGGCTCTGGGGACCTGTCCGCCTGCTGCCCCCAAATGGCAGCCAAGGCCTTCTCCATGCTCACTAGCAGTCAGCCTTGGCCCCATGGGCCTTGCGCTTGCCTGGCCAGTCACTGCCCGTCTCCAGACCCCATGGCCACGTTGTGGTCTGACATCAGAAGTGTGCAAGCTGATTGCACACACCCTCGCCCATCCCGTTTCAGCCCCACAGATGGGCCTCTGGGGCTAGGGTGCCCTCTCTAGCATTTTATGTAAATGAAACCATATATGAGCAAACTAATGAAATCATGAGAAAAAACAAAGTAATGGGCAAAACAAAATAAAGTCAAGATAGCTTTAAAAAAAAAAAAAAAGCCACAAACACCAGCTTGGGCTCTCTAGGGCCAGACCCTCCTGCGATCCCGGAGATCCAGGGTCTTCTCCCTGCCTGGGGCCCCGGGAGTGGGGAAGGAGCTGCCCAGACCTCCGCCCTGAGCGTGTTGATCCCTCAATGCCCTCCCACCCCATGTTCTTATCAGGATGACAGGGGAAGCTGCCAAGAGGGAGACGGGGAGCCCAGCTCTGGCCCTTTCAGGACAGAACCTCAAAGGTCACTGGCCTCTCCAGCTCATCCGTAAGCCAGGGTAACAGCTCTTACACTGTGGGACGCCATGGGGCACCCTTGGGCAGTTACTCTCAGCTGTTTGTGTCCTGGGAGAGCAGGGGACTTGCCGGCAGTGCAGGGAGCTCTTCCGCACCTGGGCAAACCCTCGGCCCCCTGAGTGGCCGCACAAGCGCTGAGCATGGCAGGATGGAGGTTTGGGTGGCCTCTCTCCCTTGCTCTGTTGTGTCTTAGCTGCTGGAGCTGGCAAATGTGTGTGGCTCAGCCCCAGGCTTGGCACCGGGTACTTCTCTCTCACCATAGGGATGAGATCGCCATGCAGGAACCCCACCCATATTTGCATGTGCCCAGGACACGTGGCGTGTGAGTGACTGCAGCAGCCTGGACCTGCGCTGCAGCATTGGGCCTGCTGGGCCAGGCAGGGCAGGATGGGCACCCAGAGTGGGAGCTGCACAGAACGTCAGGAGGGCAGAAAGACCACGTCCTGGGCCTGGGTCTGCCCCCCTCACCTGAGACCTGTGCACTTTCCACCTGAGCACATGCCCGTCCGTCCAGCTGGGCCCTGAGCCCCAGGCACTCGGCCTCCCTCCTCCCCTGGCCCTGTCTCAGGCCCCTGCTGTGGGGAGCCCAGGGTGAGCTCTTTCCCGGCTGAGACTGGTCCCACGGGTGCCCTCTGGTCCCAGCCCCTAACTGCTGCCACACCCCTCAGCATCCCGGTATACAAGGAGGGGGCCTGGGGGTAGTGCAACGTTCTGGGAGCCAGGGGTCACCTGGGCCTTGTGCAGCCCTTACTTCTCCTGGGCAGAGCAGGCTGGGCCCTGGTCACCGGTCCTCCAGGGCATGTGGCCTCCTGCCTGTTTGCAGGGGTTTATTATTTATTATTTATTTTTTTGAGACGAAGTCTTGCTCTGTTGCCCAGCCTGGAGTGCAATGGCGCGATCTCAGCTCAGTGCAACCTCCCCCTCCCAGATTCAAGCGATTCTCCTGACTCAGCCTCCCAAGTAGCTGGGATTACAGGCGCCTGGCACCATACCCGGCTAATTTTTGTATTTTTAGTAGAGACGGGATTTCACCATGTTGCCCAGGCTGGTCTGGAGCTCCTGATTTCAGGTGATCCGCCCGCCTCAGCCTCCAAAAGTGCTGGGATTACAGGCGTGAGCCACCTCGCCCGGCCTGCTGGGGTTTATTTGCCTACCTCTGGCAGGGGGAGGGTAGGAAGGGTTCCAGTCCCAACAGCCTGGGCCGTGGGACAGGGAGGGGCAGTGGTGGCCCCTGGAGCCCTACTGGGGGTGGTACATGTGGTCTTGGTCTTCCTCCGGTCCCCGGAGCACCTGGCGATTTGGCATCACCCACAACCGAGGCCCCTCCTCGCCCTGGTCCTCCTCGGGCGGAGGGTGGTGCAGGCTGTCATGGTCGGGCTCAGGACCCTGCTGGGGGCTTAGGACATGGCCCAGGATGTCCTCGGTCTCCACTGAGGCCTTAATGCCTAGGGACAAGCAGATGAAGGGATAGCCTCAGTTTCTCTCCCGAGACCCTTGGTCTGTCCAAGCCAACCCCACGAGCAGGCTTTGCTGCTGTGGCCTCGTGCCCACCTGGAAGGACGGGACCCCTGCCCTGACCTGGTGACTTCTCAGCGGTCAAGAGCTTCGGTTTCGGGACAGGGAGCAGCCCCACCAGCTGGTCGTCCTTCTCTGGAGGCTCCACCACACGGGCGCCCCAGGCCCTGCTGGCACAGTTCGGTCTTGTCCACACGCAGGTGGGGGAGGGGCACAGAACCCCCCGCAGGAGGGTGCCCACCATCCCGGGGCAGCCACTCCAGCCCCCACCACCAGCAGCCCCAGGACAAGCCCCTCTCTCAAGAGCCGCAGTGATGAGTGGCCCCCACAGTGCTCCCGGCCAGGCTTCCACACCACGTCCCTGGGCCACTGGGTGGGGGGCAGTGGTCAGAGCCTTGGTTGAGCAGCGTCCCAAAGACGTGGATGTGGGGAAACCTCAGGAGCCAAGACTGAGCCACCCTGGCTGCAGCCACCGGCCGTGGGGTACAAGCTGCCCTGGAGGCCGTGGGGAAGCTGAGTGGGGGACGCCCGGGAGCCCCAAGCCCTCTGGCTGTACTCTCTTCTCCCTGCACAGGGGCTGTTGACAGATCCCCATGAGGCTGAAGTGCCGCCTCCCTCCGAAAGCTGCTGGACAGGGTTCCCCTCTGCATCCTTCTCGTGCACTCCAGGTTCAGGAAAGGCCCAGAAGATCCGGCTGTAGCTTCAGGGAATGGCGGGGGTGGGGATGGGCAGGTGGGGCTGGGGGGACTTACTTCTCTGCCTCCTGCTCTGAGGGCCGGTGTTTGACGTGGACCTTGATAGGGAGAGTCACAGGTGTGGGCTCAGCCACAGTCCACACGGATGGAGGACACCTAGGGAGAGGCTGCTCCGAGGCCCACCTGGGGCTGCAGGGGTGGGGACAGGGCCAGCTCGGCACAGCCCGAGCGTCTCTAGTGGGTGTACCACTCTCGGGTGTCGGGATTGCAAGCCGGGAGTGAGGCTGCTGGCCTGTGCCCAGATGACCAGCTGGCCTGGAATTCTGGGCGGGCCTGGGGCGGCACAGGACTGGGATGTAACTGGCACGATATCCCCGACCTAGCACCCCCACCCCAGCTGTCAGTGCACTGGCTGGTTTCTGAGGTGACTGGTTGGGGCTGTGTCTCCTCCCTGGCAGGTGCCTAGAGAAGGCGGTCAGCTGCTCCGAGCCCAGCTAACCTTAGTTGTCAGCTGCTCTAAGCCCAGCCACCCTCAGTGGGGCAAAGGACAAACAGGAGAGCAAAGCAGGTGACCCCAGTGGAGGACCAGTGACCCCGGGGAGGACCAGTGACCCCAGTGGAGGACCAGTGACCCTGGGGAAGACCAGTGATCTCAGTGGAGGACCAGTGACCCTGGGGAGGACCAGTGATCTCAGCGGAGGACCAGTGACCCCGGGGAGGACCAGTGACCCCAGTAGAGGACCAGTGACCCTGGGGAGGACCAGTGACCCCGGGGAGGACCAGTGACCCCAGTAGAGGACCAGTGACCCCAGGGGAGGACCAGTGATCTCAGCGGAGGACCAATGACCCTGGGGAGGACCAGTGACCCCAGTAGAGGACCAGTGACCCCAGGGGAGGACCAGTGATCTCAGTGGAGGACCAGTGACCCCGGGGAGAACCAGTGATCTCAGCGGAGGACCAGTGACCCCAGGGGAGGACCAGTGACCCCGGGGAGGACCAGTGACCCCAGGGGAGGACCAGTGACCCCAGGGAGGACCAGTGACCCCGGAGAGGGCCAGTGACCCCAGGGGAGGACCAGCACCGTGGGAGGCCGTGCCCATGTTCCTGCGTCTCCAGTCAAGGAAGGCATGGACCTCCTTCCTCCTGATCCATGCCAGGTGTGCAAGACTGAGTGGTCTTGACATGGGCCAGGGAACAGGGCACATCCCCAGGCATAGTCCCAGCCAAGGACACCACTGTCAGCACAGACAGTGCAGC